AAAGAATTTTCCTTTATTTCTTCGGAAGATCTTTCGGGAATATCTGTTTCATCTTCCGTTGATCATTTAATATCTATTACTTTATTTCCATTCTTAACCCATTTACGTTGATCGATTGAGGAAGTGGTGTATAATTTGCCAATCATTCACGAATAATTGGTTCTTAAATCTCATCGGCTTTTCTAATGATGTATCTGCAGCAGAAAAAAAAACGATAAGATTTCATAATCGCAAAGTTTTACACATGGCTTCTTAAATAATTGAAAATGTTTTTTACAATGAAAAGGTCCTTAAGTTTATGACTATTTCCCAACCATAACTAGTATAATTTATTAGAAAAATTGTTATAATTAGGAGTAAAAAAAATTAGCAGTTTCGGTAGCTGAGAAAAATACGGCATTTTAAAACACCCATTAAGATATAATACTACTTGTAAAATGTACCTATTGTTAACAAATGGAAAATGAGCCTTCGAAAAAAGGCAATAACATTCCCTTTCTGATAAGACTACCGCATTATTTTTCAAGATAAAAGATAAATAGTTCCAGGCAATCGCACACCAACGCAAATAAGCAAATCATATTACTCTCTGCTTGAATGCCACACACCTTATCAGAGGTTCATCATTCAACGTCAAAGACAATTACATAACTACTGGAATTATTGCGGAGAACAGATAAAAAGCTACTGAAACTTCAAGAAGCTTCCGCTTAAATTCCCCGATATTTTTAACTAAATTAAAGAATCTGTGGGAGAACTTTTAGATTCCAAGAATGATCTAGCTTCCGCATTCACGATTTTTCTTATAAGCATAGCTTATTTTTAGAAATTAAAAATGGCGGAGCTCTATGAACGGCCGCAGATAAGATAAAAAACATAAAATAATTAAGTAGAAATTAAAAAGATAAATAAAATGTTAATAAATTAAATTAACTACAAGCAAATAATAAATCAGAATGTTAAAAGCTCACCTTATTTGAGGTTCTGGCTGGAATTACAAATTTGTTCGAAACCTCAGAAGTACTGAAGCACCGAAACTACTATAGTGGGGCCCTGCCTGTAACAGTCAGTAACATTACAGAAACATCTATGTGAATTATGGGGACAAACATGATACTCAGGTAAAAACTCAAATGCGAAGACAATTTAGTTTGGCTATGCGTTTGTTAAAACCAAGAAAAGAGTGCATAATATAATAATAATAATGTATATATATATATATATTGAATTTCCATTCAAGTTGCTATAAAACACAATTTACGGAATTAAACTTCCTACATATGGGTTCACTCTTTTTAGATATTTCTACTAAATTTATATTAGGAGATAATATAATCAATAATTCTTTAGTAAATAAATTATATATATATATATTAAAAAGTGAAATTTTGCTTTAAAAAAATTTGCTTTAGCTAAGAGAAAGTCACTATATTTGCCCTTTCCAACCTAAAACTAATAACTGTTTATAATAAATCCCTTTAACCGCATCATTTCAGATTTGATTCTTCTTACGGATTTTTATATAACGCTGAAGACTTACATATGAAGATAACACTTCAGTCAATAATAATTTTAAAATTTTTGCACCGAAACTTTGAGCAAAAAAATAGGATAAAACTGAACCAAACTGAATCATTTAGAAGCTCGCTTTCACCTTATATACGTCACATTTCCTTTTTTACTTCCGTCTCGTGCAAGATCACTCTCCGCTATTTTACTAGCTTACTTCAAAAAATAGGAATCTCATTAAAGAACGATTGCACTTGGCACCAGATTATCCGCGTTTGCCCTAATAATGTGATGTCAATAATAAAAGATTTGTTTTGTTAAGAAATAAAAGAACTGATTAACTGGCCATGGTTTCAGGTGCCGTCTGCAGCATCAAACTTATGTGTGTGAGAATTTGTGTGTAAATTTTAAACCTTATTGCGGAGCAACTGACAGAGACTACAAAAATTTATTCGACAAAATTAAGTTAATATGACAGAACATTTTTCAAAAATGCCCAGTGTGTGCAAAATGCGACGACATGTGAGCCAAGAAATTTTGCTTATGAAAAAATTAATATATAAAAATAAAAATTTCCAAATGTATTTCAAACAATGCACATGAACTAATGATAAATAGTTATTATTTCTTTCATTTATTTTTTTAGTTTAACTCGATTTGGCTTAAAGTATATTAGTTAATGGATTAAACAATCTGACTAAATAAGATTTTCCTGTGCATTATTACATCTATTTATGTGTACATAGTCGTACAATATAATTAAATTACATGAATAATCCCTGCAGTTTTTTTGCTCATTACCGTATATGGAAGTTTTATAATTTTAATACCTTTTTTGCATTCCTAACTGAAATTCCTGTTATCAGTTTTTCAACAATAATCGCTCTCTTATTTGCTTTGACTTCAGACAAGTTCGTTGTTGTTATTGTTATTGCTTTGTCCGTATTACATGGAAGAATGGTTGTCAGAGCTTACTCAAAAAAGAGGTTGGACTTCTATTTTCCACTCCCAATTCTGAGGGAGAGCAACCCGGGGGAATCGGAGGATCTCCCACCAATCCACACGAGAGGACTTTCGGCTCACCGCATACTTAGATTGCCGCCATGCCGCAATGACACTATACATTTACAAACATCCATGTCTTCTCCGGGATTCGAACCGGAGCTCTTCGGTACCGTAGTAGGCTCCCCTAAACACTATACCGTCTGGGTGACGACAAGTTGGTTATTTCAGACAATTTAATATCGCAAGAAAGAAGTAGCTTCCGATGCGAAAGCAGAAGCCAAGCCTATTTTACTGAAGTAAATATAATGCTAGTTTTAAAATTAAAGTGAAAGAATACAGGAAAAATATTTACATTAGGATTTTCATTACTTTTACATGACGGATACTTCTGAGTTAAAAAATTATTAATAATCCTAAAAGACTGGGTCACACCCTGTCAGCCGTTATATTAGAACATCGGTTGCCAACTCTTTTTGTTTCGTTACTCTTAAATGAGACATTGTAACCATAGACCTCCCTCCCACTTCACAGATTAATGTGAGCAGCTTCGCATAAGAACTCTTTTTCGAATTTTAAAATACGTATTATATTGCATGTATTTAGAGATATTGCGTACATTTTAATTTTAAAAAATACAAACTCATAATAATGTAGTATTTTTGAACAAACTGTTATAAATTACGAACTGTTTAATCAAAATAACGAGAACTTTTATTGCTTTTTCCACCATAAAATAGCTTCATATTTCTGTCTGTAAATATTGATACCTTTATTTTTTTAACATAGGGTTTCTGTTATTTATTTAAGAAACATGTGTTCTGCTCTTCTCATCAACTATAAGCTTGTTGCTTTCAGAGATCTTCGAAAGCTAAAAACAACTGATATAATTATCAGAATGAAGAATACTAGTATTAAATATCATTATTAAAATGACTATTAAATACCAAAATGAATAATAAGAAGCAAACTAACTGCGAAATTAAATGTATTAATTACATATAATCCAAAGTAGGGCTGAAAAGAAGGAATTATCAGAATACATATTCGATAGCACAGAAAGAGTTATAGTTTCTTTGATGTAAGTAGTAAAACCTTGTTGTAAGTTTTGAATAAAATTAAATATATCTTTTGAGAAAGAAATTTTCACTCTTACAATCTGATCTCTTGCGAAATATAGATCACTTACCATCTATCTCTCAAATGTACTCATAGACGCTCATTGGGTTTGAAACCTGATAAGATTTTTAATCGTGGCACAGAAATAACTATCTTCACTTTCTAGAAACATTCCTAAGTACAGGAAATCTCTATATAAATGTATATTATCGATCACGAGAAAGTAGGAAACCGTAGATAGACAGCACCCCGCAAAATCTTACATTCGTACTTCGTCTTTGTACAGATAATTATCCAAACTTTCTTGCTAAAAGACAGGAAGATATGTTGTACGATATTTTAGCCACGTCAGTTATGCAATAGTTTATTTTTCTGACAAATGATGATTAGTTATTCCCAACATAACAAGCTTCGTCTGTGAATAAATTAGATCTTAATTTGTCACAGAACAGAGTATTAGCCTATTGATTTTCGTCTCACTTCCTCCATTTATCATAATAAACTAGATGCTTTAGTAATTCGTATGTTATGCTTAACACCTTTTCAACCTTCTTTTTATTATTTAAGCACATTATTCTTGCCGGAAACAAAAGAAGAGGGCACAAATAGTGGCCAAGTTGAACTTTCTTTATTGCATCTTTCCTCTTAGTAAAGAGGGTTAAGCGAGCTGAAGATTTTACTGTATTATCATATGATAGCATAGTTTGATGCTTATATTCTCAGATAGAAAACGTCATTAAATAAAGAAAATATTTTAATTTCATTTCATTATAGCGCTGATACCCTTATGCAAGTCAGCTAATGTTCGCGAACTCCGAAAACTTCCTACTTGTTGCTCCGGCTTAACGTTCCCAGCGTCTTTCATGAAGATAATTTTTATCTTCGACATTCATAACAGTGCTGGCACTCGTATGCAAGAAGATTTTTATTTGTCCTATTTGCCAAAATAGCAAACTGAAAGCAAACTGAAACAGTGCTGTATAAGGGTGCCAGCAGCCAATCTTTACGAAATTTGCTTTTTTCAACTTAAAGAATCAAGTTTAGCTTCGTAAAGGTGCGACATTCCTGGGACATTCTCTGGAAGGTATCCAAAAAAAAAACAATTTGTTTGGTTTATTTGATTATGACAAAGCACCTAAGAGATATTTGTCTAAGAAATTCACGAAAACGCCTATGCAGCCAGTCCGTTTACCAGGATTTGAACTTGCATTTAGCTAATTCGACCGCTGGTAGATCCCGAACAGACGAACACTGGCTGACTTGTGTGCTAGTGGGCTGACAATTCCCCAGCAATACCGGTTTCTCTTTTCATAAAGTTTATTCCTTTCTTATACAAAGCAATGCTATTATGCCCAGGCTCTTTTCTTTAGGATCGCCAGATGCTTTTCGATCCGAACCCTCTGACGATGAACAAAGTTTTATCATAGAGTCTGGTCGTATGTTTGAAGAAAACCCAAGACTAGAAGATGAAGGCCATCCAGAACCAAAAGGTAAAATTACTACTTTATCAAGTGTCTTTATAAGAATACAAGAGCTTTTCATATCTGATTACCCCATATGTCTTAACAGCTTAGCTACCTTCTTTGTTTTGTCATCTTCACAAGCGACTAGGTTTTCCTCCCAATGTAATAAGACTTCCATAATTCTATCTTCCTTACTTCCACATCTTCACAAATTAGTAGATTTTCCTGACAATGTAGCACAGCTTTAATTTTTTAATTCTAAAATAGCAAATTATTTAAATGAAAACTTTCAGTCTATTATAAGTGCATATTTTAATTTTTCCAATAACTTAATGACAACTTTCTTTGCTATTTAAGATCAGCGCATTAAATTCAAAGATTAAAGAATAAACTTTCAAATTGAAGAAAAAGGAATGATGGCAAAATACGTTACTTAAATTTCTAACATTAATGGAAAGGCCTTGATTCAACTCAAAGCTAATTATGCATCCAAGGCAACTGCTTTGATCTAAGTGTTTGCATTCAGACTCTACCTTGTTTCACGTTGTTATTAATAATGCTCATCTTCATTCTGCTCTTCTAATGCATCACGCATAGCGCATTAAAAGAACTAATTAGGTTCCAAATCATAACTTAAAATACATTAATAGAAACGTCAACCTCAACTCTAAGAATTGTCATAGTAATCTCAAAGAAATTCATCGTGTTATGCATTTCGCTATTCATTATTTCTCTATATAAATAAAAAAATACATAAAATACGTAAATAAAATCTACATAAAATGCAAAATAACATCTATAGGTAAATTAATAAGATAATATAAATTTCCGTATATTTAATTTGCTTAAAATTTATTCATTTTTGTTTTAATTTCAGAAATCCGAGGTTATATGCATGCAATTAAATTTAAATATTCTCGTCTTTTCGCAAGTGTTTTCTTACAGGGAGACCGTATCGTTCTCTAAAAGGATTCAGTTCCCCTATTTTTTAGCAGAGCTTTTAGGTACCACAACAGAAACTGCTGATATCAGTTATAGGTATTACAAATGAATGCGAGGATATTCGAGATGAAACAAAGGAGCAGATGTTCAGTTTCTGACAAGCTGAATAAAAATTCTAAAAAAAAGAGTGGGAAAACCATGTAAAGATGCAAAAGAAATTTGACATTTCATATGTGGAATTAAGAGAGCATTCACTGAATTTCAAAAGTTACGAAGGTTCTGTAAGTCACCTGTAAGCTGCTGGAAAGAATCTCTTTCGAGTTTCAAAAGATATAGTTTTTACGGATCGAACAATTATCATTTTTAACTACGAAATATATTTTACGTTTCCAGGCTCCACCAACAGTAAATTACCAGCAAGATAAAGATTTTATACTAGAGACATATAAAAAATTCCAAACAATGAAAAAATCCATTCCACATTAACATTTAAAGTTAAATGCCACGTCTGTCTTCTTCGAAGTTGTCATTTCCCAGCCACCTAACGACAAAGCGAAAAGCCTTTTAGTTCCACATTTTATATCATTAAATGTTGAATTCGGTCACTTTACTGAAAAGGACGATAATGTAATTTACGTGAGATACCCTTAAGTTTAAACTTAATTAGTTATTTAATTATACTCATTTAACCTTCCCTTGTTCTGACAAATTGTCGTCTTTACACAATAAAACAGAAATCTAAGTGAATTTCAGCAACACAAGCAAGAGGTAAAAATGCATTAAAAATATTAATTGAAACTATATCTTGCGCAGTTTCAGGAATGCAAGTATTTAAAGCAATAAAATACAAAATTTAACCTTCAGATAAATAACTCGGCTAATGTTAACGGGGATTCCAGCTCTACTTTCTAACATATGTAAAATTTACCCTCTAATCCACAGTTTGGTTGGGTCCGACGCTCTTCTTTTCTAAAGAGCTATGCTGAGCGGTGACTTCACTCGCTGTTTTAACATGAACTACTTTCGCCTTCTGGTGAAGGCTGATGAAACAAACAGAAAGTATAGAAAGGAAATAACATAAAAATTAGCATATATATTAAAGCAAACCTTATAAAGCCCTCACTTCAAATTAATGTGCAAAAGGCACTACTGAATGGTCGAAAGAACTCGACATCGTTTTTGTAAACAAGTAAACCGTTTCAATCGAAAAAATCCTTAAGAATATGTGAGGGGGTTTTTTTGTCAATAAAAATATATCTATCCAAATAGTTGGCGATTTAAAACGTGTTACCAAGCTATTTTGTGCAAATAATCGGGAAGCCTAACAAATTGCTTCACAAGATGATTAGGTGAGAACCTTGAACTCCAATCCATACGCCAAGAATGGTGTCAGGAAAAACTTAATAAATTATCTAGAAAAATAAATCGTGATACAAATTCTAATTACTAATTGTCTACAGAAATGCTGAAGTCTGAAGTCAATGTACGGAAAAGTAAAACTGTAAATCGATTTTGAAAAACATTAAGTATACGGGAATTTTTATGGTTACCTTTATTTCATTACTAGCCGCTACACGGCCAGTCTGGCTATTAATTGTAACGGAAAAATTCCAAATATTAAATTTAAAAACTTCACAGAATTTACTCTGCAGAACAGCTTTATTAAAAAAAATTTCAATAAAAATGTTTTACATATAAAAAAACTACAATGAAATAAGCAATAGCCCTTAATACAAATATTAATTATCCTAATAAATGAATCAACCAACTCCCCGTTGCCTTCTGTCGATAAACGTCCAGTATCCAAAAGAACCAGTTAAATAGCTGCGTGACATTGTTGCTGATATAATGAGAGAGAATTATTGATTTGACGCGATTTCATCAAAAAACATAAAATAAAAATGAAAAAATCGCTTCGAGGTGCACTGGCTAGGTGCACCTATGTAGCAAATTTCGTAGCCCTGTCTATTAGCTTAGGCGCGGCACGAACGAAAGACATACACACACAAAGAGATAGATTCTTCCTTATATATATGTTACCGAGAAAGACCGAAATTGGAGAATGTCGACTTTCACCGGAGAATGTCAACATTCACCAAATACGTCGGTGAAAGATCGAATATTTATCTACATTCTTGTACATTCGGACCCTCACCGGTCGACAATCACAGATATGCTCTGGTGTAGGTCGAAAAGAGAGGAGTATATGTACACGCTGCCATTCCAAAAGGAAGTGTTCCACAAATAAATGCAGTTGTAAAAGCAAGGGCCTCTTGTGCAATTCAAAGTGTCATAATAGTTTAAGTTGTTGCAATAAATAAGATTTGAATCACATAATTTGGTAAGCTTATAACTTCTATTATTTTCCTTTCTCATTTTGAATGTACTGTGTGTTTTAAGTTCTTATTCTGAGTCTCAAGTGCCTTTTTTCTCGAATGAATTACGGAGAAGGAAATATAATATTCTTATATGTTCAACATTCACCATTAGTACATGGTGAATGTCGACATTGACCGGTGTAAGTCAGAAATAAGAGTATTTGGAAAATATTTCGGACATACACCAAGAGACTATGTGAATGTTGACATTCACCGGTGAAAGTCAACATTCTCCAGATTTCAGTGTTTCACCGTAACATATATATATATATATATAAGATAGACATTAAACAATAAAAGTCATCCGAATAAGATGTCATACTCATTCGGATAACTCAGCTGCTTAGAAATTAACTTAACACTTTTCTATACCTTCTATTTCTGTCGTCAGCCTTTGCCAGAATGTAACATTATTTTGAGTTTAAACAACGAATGAAGTTGTAAGTGCTATGGCAGCTACTCAGTACAACTGTTTAGAACAGATTTGTTGCTATTAAAAGAAACGTTAAGAATGGTATCTTATCATAACGCTTTTTTGTGTTTCTTCAAAGCATCTGCAAATGAAACAATGTTACAGAAAAACCTAAACACAAATAATTTAAGAAATATATTGCTGTGTGCGTACGGGTTCGTGTTGGATTGAATGCACAGAGAACCAATGGCAGCCTGATAAGTTTTATTTTCACAGAAGAAACACTTCACAGTTATGCAAATTTCCACAGAATACTCGTGCAGCCCCTTCTCATTATAACACAGTAATTAGTAATTACCACTTCAAGCTATTAAGAACTTTAAACACAATGCTATGCAAAGGCATCTTACGAGCAAAGTTCGCACGGAGATCTTTCAGCACAACGAAGTCAACACTGAAATAAAAACTGAGAAATGATGCTCTCTCTGTCCTTGTATAGCTTCCAATGAGAGCCGAGAAATTTCTAGTACTTTCCATTTCTTGAAGCTACTAGAAGGCATATATGATAACATTACAGTTACGTATAATGGCGGCTACAGTTCCAATTACACAGACCAGTTGCATCTGTTACAGTTATTCAAGGACCAGACACAAGTGTCGCCAAACGGTCGCCAAGTTTAGAGATTTTTCGTGATTCCTCACCAAATTTGGTAACAAAATTGGTCGCCAAAACCAGGACAGCTTGGCGCTATCATGCAAATTTGGCCAGATATCCATTTACCTCAAAGTTAAATGGACGTGCCCCAGTAATCTTACTTTTTCGGCGAGGCTTCGCTTTCTTGAGGAATTTAACATTCTATTATACATGAGATACTACAATGTTACATATAATTTCATTAAAACTTATATATATAGAGAGAGACACAAAATTCGTAACATTACTCCCCTTTCCAAGGATTGCACGTCCCGGGCAGTACGATCTCTTGTCAGGAAGCCATACTTACAGCTAAGGAAAATCAATGCAATACTAAACTCATAAATTCAATAAAGACAATACAACAAATAAAATACTAAATACATGAATAAATGCACGAATCTTCAAATTTATATACAAATAGACCCATGTATTGGTGTAATATTTACATTATGTACGCTATGGGGACTACATGCTATGGCCAAAGCATTGGACTAGCCTGTCGTAAAGAACGACTTTAGTAGGCGTAAAATTTGATGATTTAGTGACTCGAACTACGACTTCGTTCAGCTGTTTAAGACTGTGTGAGGACTTTACTTTC